CAGTAGTGTAACTAAGGGGAGGTTCAGGGTCACCTGTTCTAGACCCTACTATAGGATTGATCAAAATCAACAACCAATGATCTATGGCCATGAGTCCCATTCACGGAGTTGGGGAATGGCGGCAATCACAGCATGTAAGATGGTGACAGATGGACCGTTAGGCCCCTCCTCCATTCAGAGATGGTCTCTGCTGATGACGCCCAGTTTGTGCTCCAGTGGATGATGAGAGTCAAACCTTAGATACTGATCCGTATGTGTAGGTTTACGGTACACGTCAGCTTTTAGATGTCCCCCATTCCTGATGGAAATCTCACAGTCTAAGAAGGCTAACCTGACACTGTTCATATCCTCCCTGGTGAATTTGATGTGTCGGTCCACTGAGTTAATGTGATCCGTGAAATGTGGAACGCCCTGAGATTTGATTTTCACCCAGGTGTCATCCACATACCTGAACCAATGGCTTGGTGGTGTTCCAGGGTAGGATAGCAAAGCCCTCTTTTCCACTTCTTCCATGTACAAATTGGCCACGATGGGTGAAACTGGGGAGGCCATGGCACACCCATGTTTCTGCCTGTAGAACTGACCCTGTATGTGAAGTAGGTGGAATGAAGACACAGTTCAGACACACTTGGTCGATGTGAGCGGTCCTGTTGCTGAGGTTGGGGTCATCCTGTCATCTCTTACGGACCACCTCCAACGCTTCAGTGAAACCTGATCTTGAACGTTGAGCAGATGTCTGTCTCCTGAGTCTGATCTGGGAGCTGCTTCCACAGGAGGTCTGACTGTAACAGGCCTGTTAGAAAACTCCAGCTACCACCAATCCTGTGGCAGAGGTTTACTGCAACAACACGCTCTTAGAAATATGATGCACTCACATCATCACACACGACTGTATATTTTGTCAGTGCAAGAGTGGAGCTCCCAACTCTTTCATGGTTGTTACACACTCAGGGAATTCTTTCTGGATAATGACGATTATGTTTGTTATAAATTACATTATTTAATGTAACAACAATTCATATTTTAAACATTTTTGAGCAATATTGTTACTGCCATTATGCTATTATTACAAAACACTATCATCACATGTTCTCATTGTTCACCTGGTGAGGCTCAAAGCGCTCCCAGCTGGAGTCCAACCGGAACGCTGTCTGATAGAGGGAATGATTTAAAAATGTTGATACTGTTTAGTCAGGAAAGAACTATCGATCACACACAAAGCAACGTAGTTACTACACAAACAAAATTTATGTGGCCATATGGGAGACATTTGAATCTGAAGGTGCTTCAGACACAAAGGAAAATACACTTCTTCACCTTCAGCAGGGATATTTACACAAACTGTTGATCTTGAATTTGGAAAATACAGGATTTGTTTGTTTTGTACCGATGAACTAATATTAGAAACAGTTATTCTACAATGCTTTATGTTACAAAGCAGGTCTCATAATAAGAAATGTCAAATATGAACAAAACAGGAAGCAGATTCTAGTTTTAAGGGCAAACTATATGAAAAAAGTTGTTCCTGTACAGATAATTGTAAGAGCAGCCGTGGCTTTGCGTTGGTGTGAGATAAAGGAACAGTTTGAGACTAATACTTCTGTTTGTCACTATGCAGAACAGTTAGTGCGGATCTTTCACTATACTGTCACTCGATGAGTTTATGATCAGCTGTGTGAGTCTGCAGCACAGGAAGTTCCAGCTTCTCACACTCGGTCATCTTCAGGGTTAAGTACTGGGCCACCTCGTTGGGATCGGTGAACAGTGGAGCCGGAACGTTCTGAGAACACAACGAATCAAACTGAAGAACTAATCTGCAGTCAAAAATATAACCACATATTAAAGTAAAATAGATCTGAATATTCATATTTATATAAAAAACAACAAATAATAATGTATTTCAGAATCACCCATGAAAAACAAAAATCCTACATGCTGTATAAACAGCGTCATGAACGTGTGATGGTGCCGAGCAGCACAGTCAGCATGTGAGCAGTCCTGGTGCTGCTTCAGACAGCACGAGCACACTGAGCTCACCACAGCTCACCACAGCTCCCAGCTCCCTCTGCAAACACACTGCTAACATGCTGGGGTTCTTCTGCACAGGCAGCTGTCTGACGCTGGTTTCATTATTATTGTTGTTGTTACACAGTTTTACTACATTTCCATCGTCACCCTTAACCCTCTACAACATGAATTTAACTGTTTTCTTCTGATTTTTTTTTCTTAGAATTAAATATTTCGTCCTGCATTTTGATAGCTTGCAGCGTCCTCTACTGACACATCAGCCAACAAGTATCCACAGGTAAGCCAGCTCTGACGTGCTCTGCCAGGATAATAACTGTGAGGTGGTGAGGATGTGGCTGAACAGACTTTGAACATGAGAAGGATTTTAAATTCAAGTCTGAATTCATCAGGGAGCCAATGAAGAGAAGCTAATAATCTCTTTGCAGCGCCAGTGGGCGGGGCTTCGAGTCAACTGAAGGCTTTTCAGGTCAGGACATCCTGATAGTAATGAACCAGTTTTTAGCAGCACAAATGAATCAGGCTAGCTCTACGTATTTGTTGAATGTACGCGTGATGCCATCTGAGCCAAGTATCAGGTTGGACATCAGCTTTTAACATTTTTAGGACCAAGTATAATGTTCCTCTTTTGGAGATGATGAGTTAACTCTTTGATTACGTCTCTTTCAAAAAGTCTATAATGAAGATAAGATATCAGTCTATAATTAGCCAAGGCAGCTGGATCAGGTAAGGGTTGGAAGTCCGTGGTACGTCCCTGTTAATAAACACAGATTCATCCTGTTAAAACCCGAAGCATTAATTCATGGGGGAACGGACGGACACCATCTGTTCAGGTTTTCCCACAAAGTTTGCCAATAAATCCCACGTTGGTTTTCTGGACACCGCTCAGACAGGAGAACCAGTCCAGGTGGAGAGGGGACCACAGAAAGAGTCGGACATCTTTTTAGCAAATCGACACAATATTGGTAAATGGACTGATCTTATACAGCA